AGATAGATTATAATCTGAGCCATAGTTTTAAACCTCAACTAGTTTAAAAAGAATTAAAATTATACAGAGTATAGTCTGTGACCATAATGGAATCAAACTGAAATGAATAAGAGAAAGACAGCAGGAAAATAGTAGAAATTTTGAAAATTAAACAGCACACTTCTAAGTTATCCACAGATCAAAGAGAAAGTTTCAAAGGAAATTTTTTGAAATGCATGTAACTAAATGAAAGTGAAAATACAGTTTATTAAAAACAGGTGGGATGCAGCTAAAGCATGCAAAGTGGGAAATTTATAACACTAAATACTTCTATTAGAAAAAAAGGAAGTCTCAAATCAAGAATAAAAGGCATACATATTCGAAAGAAATAAGACTTATGTGACATGATTATCTATGTTGAAAATCCCAAGGAATCTACCAAAAAAACCCCCCAAAACTTCTAGAATAAGCAAGTTCAGTTGCAAGATAAAGATCAACACAAAAATCAATCACAATTTGATATACTAATAATAAACAAATGAAAACCAAAATTAAAAACATAAATTCATTTATAATTGATCTAAAGAAAACAAAACACTTAGGTATAAATCTAAGAAAACATGTATAGAAGCCGGGCTCGGTGGCTCAGCCTATAATCCCAGTGCTTTGGGAGGCTGAGGTGAGTGGATTGCCTGAGCCCACAGGTTTGAGACCCACCTGGGTAACTTGACGAGACCTCATCTCTACGATAAATCAAAAAATTAGCCAGGCGTGGTAGCACGCACCCATAGTTCCAACTACTTGGAAGGCTGAGGCAGAAGGATCACCGGAGCCCAGCAGGTTGAGGCTGCAGTGGCTGGGAACGGCCACTGCACTCCAGTCTGAGTGACAAAGTGAGACTCCAACTCAAAAAAAAAAAAAAGTATAGAATTTATGTCTAGAAAATTACAAGATGCTGAAGAAAGAAATCAAAGAAGACCTAAATAAATGTGCAGACATACCATGTTCATAGTCTGGAAAACTTGAAAGTTCAGTGACTTTGAAACTAAATCTTTATCTTGTGCTATCAAATTAGATAGAGTAAAATGTAGACATAGTGAATTGGATATAAATCAAAGGAAGTGATCCAAAATGGATCAAGGAGAAAGAGATTTATTTTAATTTTAGAAATGAGAATAAGAGACCTGGAAATTACATATATACAATAAGAAAGCTCAAAGAAAAGGGAAAGAAAAAAGGTGGAGCAATTTCTGAAGAGATAATAACTTAGAATTTTCCAAATCTTTTTTTTTTTTGAGTTGGAGTCTAACTCTGTCACCCAGACTGGAGTGCAGTGGCCACTCCCGGCCGCTGCAGCCTCGACTTACTGGGCTCCAGCAATCCTTCCGCATCAGCCTAAGTTGCCCAGGTGGGTCTCGAACTTGCGGGCTCAGGCAGTTCACTCAACCTCAGCCTCCCAAAGCGCAGGATTACAGACTGAGCCACCGAGCCCAGCCAGAATTTTCCAAATCTAATGAAAGATTCCAATCCACTGATTTAAGAGACACAAAGCATAATAAATATTTTATATGTAGACAAAGAAAATATTTAAAGCAAACAGGTTGTGCAATACAGGAATGGCGATTAGATTTATAGATGGGCCGGCTCGGTGGCTCAGCCTATAATCCAAGCACTTTGGGAGACCGAGGTGAGTGGATTGCCTGAGTCCGCGAGTTCGAGACCTGTCCAGGCAACTTGGAGAGGCCTTGTCTCTATAATAAAGCAAAAAAAACTAGCCAGGCATGGTAGCGCATGCCTGTAGTTCTGGCTACTTGGAAGGCTGAGGTGGAAGGATCGCCAGAGCCCAGCAGGCCAAGGATGCGGTGGCCAGGAGCGTGCCACTGCACTACAGTCTGGGCGACAGAGTGAGACTCCAGCTCAAAAAAAAAAAAAAAGATTTATAGATGACTTAACATCAACAATGGAAGATGATGGAACAATAACTTCATGGCACTGAAAAAAAGGTGATTGCAACCAATTATTTTATGCCCAGTAAAACTGTCTTTCAAGAATGAAGGTAATATTTTTTTTAAAGGCTTTCAGAAATGAAGTCACTAACTTAAGGAAATTCTACAGGCTATATTTTGTCAGGAGAGTGATTCCCAGAAAGAATCTGGTGTGCAAAAAGAAATGAAGTACTAAAAGAATGGAAAATTATATGTGGGTAAATTTAAATGAGTGAGCATTGGTTGAATAAAACAGAATAATAAGGTCTAATAGGACTGGGGGAAAATAGACTTAAAATAGCAGCAACAATAATATGTAAGTCAGGAGGGTGGGAAATGGAGTTCAGAGTTCAAGAGTCCTTGTATTATTGAAGAGGGGCATACAGGTCTTGAATTACTTTGGATATAAGACTGTATATGTAGCTTGTGGTCTGAGAGAAAAAAAAATGAAATAATAAAGTCCAAAGAGAGTTAGGAAAAGAGAATAAAAGAAGCAATATGTGTGACAAAAAGAAAACACAAAATAAGAGGTAGCTTTCGATTCAAATATATCAGCATTTACATTAAATGTAAGGGAGCCTAATGTTTCAGTTAAAAATCAACAATTGGCAAACTTGACCAAAAAAAAAATTTTAAATCCAGCTATAGGCTATTTATAATAGTCTTGCCAAAAACAAAAGTAGAAAAAGGTTGAAAGTAAAAGGGTGGAAAAAAATATGTCATGTATGCACTAATCAAAATAAAACTGTTACAGCTATGTTATCAGACATGTAGATTTTAACTCAGAAAAAAATTACTAGAGATAAAGCAATTCAGTTCGCAAGAGAGATACATAAGAATTATAAATATGTAGGTGTTTTAATAACATGTTCTTAAAATATATTAAACAAAAATTAAAAGAAATAAAAGAAAAAATAGAAAAATTCCCAATCGTATGGGAGATTTTAACATGCCTCTCTCTATAACTTATACGACAGACAAAAAAAAAAAAATTAGTGAAAACATAGATTTCAAGAAAACAATCAATACTCTTAACCAAATAGACAGACCATTACACTCTACAACCACAGAACACACATTCTTTTTAAGTAAATCATGTTCATAATAATGTGCATAGTTTTAATGTTCACAAACTAGGACATAAAGCAAGCATCAACACATTTCAAGAGATTGAATCAACATAGAGTATGTCCTCTGACTACAGTGCAACTAAGTTAGAAGCCAATAGCAAAAAGATCACCAAAATCACAATATGTTTGGCAATTAAGAAAAATATTTCTGAATAACTCAGATGAAAACAGACATCATAATGAAAACCATAAAATATTTTGAACTGATGTTCATGAAAACACTACATCTCAAAACTGGAGGGATTACTCAAAGGACAATTTTATAGCCTGATTAGTATATATTAGGAAATAAGACAAAACTAAAAATTAATGAGCTGAGCATACAACATAAGAAGTTACAAAAAGAACAGCAAAATGACACCAAAAGAAAATTAATTAAAAATAAAACAGAGAATAAACCTGTAGTGGGGAAGATCAATATGCCAAATGTTGGTTCTTTGAAAGAAATAATAAAGTGTCAAACCTCTAGCAATATTGCACAAGAAAAAGAAAGGAGACACAACAGCATTAGGAATGAATAAGGACATCACTGCAGACAGTGCAGACATTAAACAGATAAAAAAGAATAGTATAAAGAACCTTACACCAAAACATTTAAAATTGTTTAAATGGACAAAACCCTAGAAAATGTAAGTTGCCAAAATTGTAATGAAGAAATGAAAATCTGAATTATAACCATTAAAAAAATTAAATCAGTAGTCAAAACAATTCACACAAATTAAATTTTAGCCCCATAAGACTTCCCTGGTGAGTTCTACCAAACACTTAAAGAAAAATGTTATTTCAGCCTTATACACAAGCTCTTAGAGCATAGAAAAAGAAAGAAGTCTGTAACACTTTTTATGAGGCTAGTATAACCTTGATACCAAAACCTGATTAGGACAGTAAAAGAAAGGAAAATTATAGACGTGTCTTACTTCCTTAAAAAAAATTAGCAAAGTGAACCCACCAGTACATACAAAAAGATAATATATCTCAACCAAATCAGGTTCATCTCACGAATGCAATGTTAGTTTAGGATTAGAATATTAATCGGTGCAATCCACTCTATTAACTGACTAAGGCAGAAAAATCACACAATCATTTTAAGAGTTGCAGAAAAAAACATTTGATAAAATTCACTCATTCATGACCGAAGTTCTTAAATTAGGAATAGCAGAGACTATCTCATCAAGTAACATATTTGTCACCATGGACTAAGCTAGCTGCAATAACAAATCCTCCAATCTCAGGGGCTTAACACATAAAAGTTTCTCTCTTACCAGATGAATCTCATGTGGAAATAAGACAAAACTGAAGACCTACAGGGCAGTTTTCATTGCTAATCAGCAGAGCCCATATCTGTTCCAAAGTGGACCTTCCATTCCCTTACCCCTCATTTCTCCCAAGTCAGTGGTGTCCTGTACAGTCCATCTACGGCCACCAGCCACCAACCCTGATTCATGTTCAACTCCATCCCTTCATCTTCATCCTCAAAATCCCTATCTGGGCTAACAAGACATATAACTATCATCCTTCGAGATATACATCATTCGAGAACAAAAATAGTGCCCCTGTTAAGTCCCACAGAGGGAGAGGTCACGATGTACCTCAAACGTGTTCTGCCCCTAACTGTCCAGGTTGCTGTATGAGACCCTAATCTGAGCTCCACCCTCACAGCCTTCCTCCCAGTAGAAGTGTTACTCTGGGCTGTAGAAGGCTCTAGGGGAGAGGCACGTGGCCCCTGAGTTAGTGCCTCTACCCTTGCCTAAAGGAGCTGCACCCAGCCCCGCCCCCCCAGGGGAGAATGCCAAGCTCCGCTCCCATCAGCACAAGGCATGGAGAATTTAGCCCCTGTCTGAATTCAAGCTGCCATGCGGTGAGCATCTATCTGTTGTGCAACACCACTGCTCTTCCCTGCCTAGGAATGTACCAGGTGATCCAGGGTATCATCTCTCCTGTCAATGACAACTATGGGAAGAAAGACCTCGCAGCTTCCCATCACCGAGTGTCCATGGCCCGGCTGGCCCTGCAGACATCTGACTGGATCCGGGTGGACCCCTGGGAGAGCGAGCAGACACAGTGGATGGAGACAGTGAAGGTGCTGAGGTAACGGGTCATGCTCCTGAGTGATGACTAGGGTCCAAGGGATGTGTCTGCGGAGCCCATCAGGGGAAAGGCAGGGTGGGATGTTGGGCAGGGCTTCACCCGATTCTTCTCAGCCAAGGTCTGAGAAGTATTTCTCCTCAGGAAGGAGAAAGACCAATAGATTCAAGTTTTCAGAGAGTTTCTGGGTCAAAAAAAATTGCAAGCCACTGTCCTTCAGGATGTAATCTGTGGAAACCCCCAATCTTGTTTCAGAAGACTATAGTGTCAGGGTCCCCTGCCACCACTTAGTAACCATGTGACTTTGAGCAAGTGGTTTAACTTCTCGGAGTCACATTTCTCACTTGCAAAATGCGGACCAAAAATTGTTAAAAGAACACTAGGCAAGGCACAGTGGAGCAGTGGATCATGCCTGTGATCCCAGCACTTTGGGAGGCCAAGACAGGAGGATTACTTGAGCCTAGGAGTTTGAGACCAGCCTGGGCAATATAGCAAAACCTTGTCTACAAAAAGTAAAAGATATTAGCCAGGCCTACATGGAGGCACATGCCCATAGTTCCAGTTACTTTGGAGGTTGAGGATTGAGGATCGCTTGAGTCCAAGAAATGGAGGCTGCAGTGAGCCATGATCATGCCACTGCACACCAGCCTGGGTAACAGAGTCAGACCTAAACTAAAACAACAACAACAACAGCAACAACAAAGACAAAACGAATGAGAATTTTTTAAATGTAAATAACTTTTCTGACACAGAGTCACAAAATAGTATTGAGTAGGAGGGACTTTTATTTTTATCGTTGTTTAGGTTGAAAACTGCATCACCAAGATAAGCCATCTTTTCTAATTGTACAATTCCCGGGCTCTATAGACCCAGACTTTTATGTAAAATAGGGGAAAAAACTGCAAATCTAGAAACAGCTACTCAAAATTATTTTTTCTTCTGGAATTATTATTAGTGCTCAGCATAAGTAATAAAGCTATGTAAAAGTCCCAAGCCAACCCTGCATGTTAGGACAATGGGTCACTGACTTGCGTCTGGAAACTTGAAGGAGATTTGCCAGAGGAGCTGGAAGTCACACCTGTCCTGGCTATGGGGACTGTGAGGTGGGCCTGCCTCACCTCTAACTGATCCTGCTGGAAAGGATTGCAAATTGTGGGCTACGTCTCTTATCTTCTTGGAGACACTGGGATTAGCAGGAAATGGGAAGCACAAGGGACAAGATCAAGTCCTTGGCAGGCCTGTTCATAATGTGTTTTGGTTTCTCTTTTTATCTATCTTCAACATCACTTGGAAGAAAAATGTTTAGTAAAGGTAAGCATTTAGTTTTTGTATCCTGGTCCTTATTACTTAGCTTTCACTGGGGAAAGAACCGGCCAGAAGCATTCAGCAGCTACAGTGCTGGTTTCAGAACCTATCACCAAATTAAAAGGAGAGCAATTATGAAATAATTTGAGGACACATATTCCCTTTAATTTTTTTACACTACCTACTGGTGTACACAAAGACTCATATATTGAAAACTATATAGGGAATAAATTTGCACTTAGATCATCCTTTTAGAATGAGTCATATAGTCATCTCTCATGTATCTAGACTAAGAGAGAGGAATAGAAGTCATAAAAAATAAAATAAGATAAATTACCAACAAGTAATTTAGCTTTGATGTGTAGGTAGAAACAGACACTTTCTCCTCCACCCTGTGAGAGGCAGTGTGGCCTAGGGTACAAGTTTTGGAGCCAGATTGACCAGCTGAACGATTGATATAAGTGATTTAATCTCCCTGAGCCTCAGTTCCTCACCTCATAAGATGGAAGTGACATCACCTACTTCACTATAATACTGTGTGAATTAAATGAGATGATGTAGGCAAAACACCTGGCTTGTAGTGGGTGCTCGATAATGTTAGCTACCTTCCCCACATCCCTAATGCTGGCATGTAATTTATCCTCAAAACCAATAAGCCATTTGTGGATAAATAGGAGTTAGCCACAGTACTATTTATGGTTACTTAATGCTTCCGTTGCAAAATGTAGGTGTGAGCTAAGATTTGCCTGAGCACATTCTTTTTCTTTTTCTTTTCTTTTTTTTTTTTTTAACTATATTCCTTAGTCCAGAGTTTCTCAGTACTGGCTGCACACTCAAATTACCTAGGGAGCTTTTAAAAGTACCAATGTCTGAGTCCGGGCGTGGTGGCTCACGCCTATAATCCCAGCACTTTGGGAGGCTGAGGTGAGAGGATTGCCTAAGCCCATCGGTTTGAGACCAGCCTGGGCAACTTGGTGAGACCCCATCTCTACAATAAATCAAAAAATTAGCCGGGCGTGGTGGCGTGTGCCTGTAGGTCCAGCTACTTGGAAGACTAAGGCAGGAGGATCGTCTGAGCAGGTTGAGGCTGCAGTGACTGGGAGCATGCCACGGCCCTCCAGCCTGGGTGACAGAGTGAGACTCCTACTCAAAAAAAGAAAATAAAAAGTACCAGTATCTGAGTCTAACTTCAGAGACTGGAATGTCATTGGCCTGGGTTGGGGCATGGAATGTTTAAGAACTCCCACCGGGCTCGGTGGCTCAGCCTGTAATCCCACGCCTTGGGAGGCTGAGGTGAGTGGATGACCTGAGCCCGTGGGTTCGAGACTCGCCTGGGCAACTTGGTGAGACCTCATCTCTACAATAAATCAAAAAGAAATCAGCCGGGCTTGGTAGCACGCGCCAGTAGTTCCGGCTACTCGGAAGGCTGAGGCGGAAGGATCGCCGGAGCCCAGCAGGTCGAGGCTGCGATGGTCGGGAGCGGCCAGTGCACTCCAGTCTGGGCGACAGAGTGAGACTCCAACTCAAAAAAAAAAAAAAAAGAAGAACTCCCTAGTGATGCTAATTATGTGGCTAGAGTTGAGCCCCAGAACTTCAGTTGTCAAGTGTGTGAATCAGGCTTGTATTCAGTCCTGAGATTCACCCAAACCAGTGGTCTCTACTCTCACTGCAGAAATCACTTGGGAAGTTTATTTAAAATGCTCATCTTCCTCCACAAGAGATTTCGATTTGTCTGGGGTGGGATCTAAGCATGGCTGTTTTTATAAGGGTCCCCAGATGATGTTTTTGTGCAACCAGTGTTGAAAAACCACTGATATAAATCATCTACGCAGTTTTATCCACTAGCTGATTAAGGCTTTTTTTATTGTTTGAAATGAACTTCATCTAGAAAACGTATCCATTGCATAGATAATGTGCTTACTAACATTTTCCTAAAATTATCAAAAGTGGGGGGATTTTTTAGGTCAAAAATCTGGTTAAAATTGGCCAGGCATGGCGTCTCACATTTGTAATCCCAGTATTATGTGAGGCTGAGGCGGAAGGATTGCTTAAGTCCAGGAGTTCCAGACCAGCCTGAGCCACATAGTGAAAACTCGTCTTTACAAAAAATTAGCCAAGCATGATGGCATGCGTGTGTAGTCCCAGCTACTTGGGAGGCTGAGGAGGGAGGATTACTTAAGCCCAGGAATTTGAGGCTTCAGTGAGCCATGATTGTGCCACTGCATTCCAGTCTGGGGAAAGGTGAGACCCTGAGTCAAAAAACAAAACAAAACAAAACAAAACTGGTTAAAATGGTAAACTCAGGTAGTTTTAGAAACATGGCAGAAAGCCACTCCATCTTTTGTACCATTTAGTATCTTCTTGATAGAGTCTGCAGTCAATCAACATATCAGTGACATAGTGACAAACATCTCTATGATGTTAATTACTGTGGGGTTTATTGAGGATTCTTTTTCTCTTGATTAGGTTGTTGATTTTTATTCTATTTTTTAAAAATCTAGGCCAATTTTCATGCCTTTAGAACATTTGGTAACTTATTTCGTTCACCTGTTCCTTGGGTTATAGGGGAGAAGGCCTTAGTCACGATGCCATTTAATGTGGTCCAGCATTATCATTATCATCATCATAATCATCACCACCGTTATCACCATTGCACACACCCCTCTGCTAACATGACCTTATGTTGTCCTCATTTTACAGATAAAGTGACTGAGGCTCAGAGAGGCTAAGTTAATCACAGTTACACAACAAATAAGCAGGAGATAGAGTTCCTATTTGTTCAGCTCTGAAGCCAGCTTGTGGCAACTTCAGAAGCAGGGCTCTGCAGGCTGGCAACACGATGTGGCTGACTTTGCTCCTGCCACAGTTATCCTCTGATGGGGTTCCCCTGGAGACAAGTGAGGCTTCTGAGAACACCAAGAACATGTTTCAGCGTCAATCCACAGACCCAGGGTACCACTCAGGCAGGCAGCAAGAGAAAGCAATGGCCATGTTCCACGGATGCAGAGTGGAAGTTCCCGGGGAAAATACATTTTGTACCAAAGTAACCATTTGCACAACAAAGTCCAGAGATCCAGCTCATATTCAAAGTAGAGTCAACTTGAGCTAGGAACTTCAAGATAAGTAAAATAAAATGACAATACCACTTTTTATTGATCACCCACTATGTGGGCCTGGCTCTTTCTCATATACTGTATTTAATCAGCTCAGCAACTCTGAGAGGTAGCTGAGTTTAGCCCCATTTTACAAATGAGGAAATGGAGGCTTATAAAATATTCAGTCCTACAGTTAGAAAGTGGACTCAGATCTACTCAATCTGATGCAAGAGGCCAGACCAACCCAGGAGCCAATTCTCAGGATGAAACTTTTCAAAACTAAAGCAGTAAAACAATAATGAAAACAGAGTCCAGCTAGGCTCTACGAAGATTGTACTGAGACTCTGAGAGAATCAGAAGGGCTTTGAACTACAGTTAAATGTATTCATTCATCTACTCTGTCCATCATTCCTGTTCCTAGCAGACTTTAGGATTATTTTCCTGGGTGCTAAGAATATAAAGATGAATTCAGTGGGGTCCTCATTCACAATCTGTTGGGAAGATGGACTGAGAGTAATAATAATAATAACAGCTAACATTTACTGGGCTCTTTTTGAATATGGGCCAGTGCTAAGCTTTTCAATTAATCCTCACAAGAGTTCTCTGGGGTAGGTACTATCACTATTCCCATTCTACAGATTAGAAAACTGGGGATGCCAAGATTCCACAGCTATTAGTTAGAAGCAGAATTCTGACCCAGATAGTCTAATTCTAGAACTTAACCTTCACAGCATGCCCACTCCCAATTATAATCAGCAGCGGGCAGCTCTCCTGGCACCTGGCAGGGCAGAAGCACTGTCTCATTCGTAGCCTTGTGATACTCAGTATAGATAGGCCAGTGTTAACTTTCATGACCCATTAACAGATAAGGTCAGCGAGGCTCTGAGAGTGTCAGAGGCTCATCCGGGGTCATTCAAGCAGGAAAACCTGAATTTGAACCCCACCCCACAACTCTGGCTGAAAAGCATATGCTTTTCCACCAGGCACTGCTCCCTCCTAAACACAGCTCCAGTAAATGCATAATACAGTCAGTCAATGGTGGAAGATCTCATTGATACAAGAAGGGTGTAGAGTGATGGCCTGTGTTTGATAAAAGAGGAGGTACAGGTTTCTTATAGACTACAGGAGATAAAAGTTGCCAAGGAGGCTAGGCATGCCAAGTTGATATGTCTAGTCATATTTGAAATGCTCCGTATACTTTGCGTGTATTAACCCCTTTAATCTTCATGGCCACCCATGAGATGTGGGCACTGTCGTTATTTCTCACTGGCAGATGCAGAACCATGCACACAAAGACCCAAAATCACTCACCCAGGGTCACATAGCCAGCTGGTGGGGGACCCGGGATTCAGCCCAGGCCATCTGGCTCTAAGCCCTGGCTCTTGGCTGTCACCCTATTGCCTTCAAAAATACTAGCTTCTAATCAGACCAAGCAGCTTTCTTGGGTGCCAGCTGTGAACCATGTATTGTGCCAGTGCTGAATGTGCATGGCTCATGGTTCATTTACCTTGACAAACGTTTAAAAGCAGGGATTGTTATCCCTGCTTCACAAATGAAAATGCTTGTTTTGAACTCAGGCCTGTCTGATAGCCCACGTTCTTCACTCCTGTTAATGTCAAAAGGATAGCTAATTTTTCCACCTTCACTCAAGTCACACTAAGGTAGTGAACTGTCTTGGATAGGCTCTCTATGAGGACCCAGATGGCCTTCCATCCAAGCACGTGGCACGGTACCTAGCACATAGTAGGCCCTCAACAGACATTTATGGAATGAGCGAACGAAAATGGATAAAAGCACATTGAGGCTTAAAATAAGGACTGGAGGACAAACACACCCTGAGCCCATGTGTTTATGATGCAGGCATCACCACAGCGAGCTGCTCCGATCTCCACCCCAGAGAGAAGGCCTAGACAACAAGGCACTCTCCCCGGCCCCTGCAGGTGGGTGCTGACCTTCTTGTCTTTAGGAGAATGAGGTGTCAGGGATTCTGTGAGTACTGAGGGCTCACAGCTGCAGAGGACTTGAGTCCAACCCTCTGAGCACAGATAAGGAATTTGAGATTGGCCTGACTGGGGTGACACTTCCGAGGTTGAAGGTTAGGCAGTCTGCCGCCCCCATCCCCACCCCCTCAGTTGCTGTGCTAGTTTATTTTCTGTCCCAAAGGAGTTTACCTACCCTTGTGACTTGTGCTTAGGATGTGGATTACAACCAGGGCCACACAGGGATAAACTGATGAGCACTGCTGAGGTTCTTAGCCTTAGCCATTTTAATACAAAATATGTTATTTTAAAACTTGCGCAGAGAGACTAATACTTTATAGCCATGTACTCAATGGTTCACTCAGAAGAGGAGACCTATTTTTAAGGGAATTTAAAGTCGATTTGGATTATCCTCTTAATTTGTAAGCCTGGGTTTCTACCCTGTTTTCACTTCCTGTTTTTCTGTAGAAGCTTGTTGGCTGTGATTTCTGAGTATGAGCAGCCCTGGTGTTAGGGTCAAATGCACAGCCCTCATGCAAATAAGCAAGAGCACTGGGAGATCCCAGCAGGCCCAACCTCAGAGTCTCCCAATTTTGGATGGCGGGACACTACTTCCAAGTCAGAAGGGTTCAGGAATGCCAAGGTCAAACACACCTAAAACGGTTTCTGTACTGAAGAACTTTTCAGAGCCTCTATTGTGTCCTTGTGCTTTGTGACTCTATAAGAAAAGGAAAGAGCTTGCAGCCATTCTGACCACTTTTTAAGCATAGAACTCTTTTTTTTAAGTTTTAATTTTATGTTTATTGAAGACTTTTTAAGATGTATTCATATGTGTATACTGACCATAACACTTCTGTGCATATTTTTTTTTCCATTTTTATTTTACTTTTGGGGGGTACACATGCATGTTTGTTACATGGACATATTGTTTATGGGTGGGGATTGGGTCTCAGGTGGCCCATTTTCCAGATGGTGAATATTGTACCCAATAGGTAATTTCTGAGCCCTAGCCCCCTTTCACACCTCTCCCCTTATTGGTGTCCCCACTATCTATTATTTCCATCTTTGTGCCCTTTTAGCTCCTGCATCTAAGTGAGAACATGTGGTGTTTTGTTTTTTGTTTCTGAGTCAGTTCACCTAGGATGATATTCTCCAGCTCCATCACTATTGCTGCAAAGGACATGATTTCATTCTTTCCTATGACTGTGTAGTATTCCATAGTGTTTATATACCACATTTTCTTTTTTCTTTTTTTGAGTTGGAGTCTCACTCCATTGCCCAGACTGGGGTGCAGTGGCACACTCACGGCCACCCCAGCATCAGCCTGCTGGACTCTGGCAACCCTTCCACCTCAGCCTTCCAAAGTAGCCCACACTACAGGCATGTGCTACCACGCCCAGCTACGTTTTGATTTATTGTAGAGATGAGGTCTCGCCAAGTTCCCCGGGCTGGTCTTGAACCCGTGAGCTCAGGCAATCCACTCACTTGGGCCTCCCAGAGTGCTGGGATGACAGGCTGAGCCACCAAGCCCTGCCAACATTTTCCTATCTACTTAGTCATCAGTGGGCACTCAGGTTGGGTTTATGATTTTGCCATTGTGAATAGTGCTGCAATGAGAACATATTTTATAGAATGATTTCCTTTGGGTAGATCCCTAGTAGCAAGATCCCTGGGTCGAATGGTAATTCAGTGTTTAGTTCTTTGAGAAATTCCATGTTTTCCATAGAGGTTGAGCTAGTTTATAATCCCGTCAGCAGTGAGTGAGCATTGCCTTTTCTCCTCAGCCACATCAACATCTGTTGTTCCTTGACTTTTTAATAATAGCCATTCTGATGGGTGTAAGTTACTTGTCTATTTTTGTTTTTGTTGCGATTGCTTTTGGAGTCTTCATTATAAATTATTTGCCTAGGCTGACATCCAGAAGAGTGTTTCCTGGATTTTCTTCTAGGGTTTTTATAGTGTCAGGTCTTTCATGTAAGTCTTTAATCCATCTTGAATTAATTTTTGTATATGGTGAGAGATAGGGGTCTGGTTTCGTTCTTCTGCATATGGCTAGCCAATTTTCCCAGCACCATTTATTGAATAGGGTGTCCTTTCCCCATTGTTTATTTTTGTCAGCTTTGTTGAAGGTCAGTTGGTTGTAGGTATGTGATTTTATTTCTGAGGTCTCTATTGTGTTCCATTCGTCTATCTGTCTATTCTTGTACCAGTGCCATGCTATTTTAGTTACTATAGCCTTGTAGTATAACTTGAAGTTAGGCAGTGTGATGCCTATTCAACACATAGAACTCTTTTTAAAATTCTTGTTAGTATTTCTTAGAACTAGTGTCCCCTGAGCGTGATTAGGAAACACTCTTTAAAAGAACTTGGAAATGCTACCGGTCCCTGAAGGTACCACGCAGCAGTCTCCAGCTGCTGGCCAAAGGATCACTCACAGCAGAATCACCAGTGGGGCTTATTAATAATTCCCAGGCCCCTTCCCAGACCTCATGAGTGGGAGTGGGACCCAGGAATCTGGATATTTAAGAAACACTCTGGGGGTTTTCCTTTCAGCCAGTTTTGGGAGCCGTGCACTAAACTAAGACTGTAAGCAGGAGACACAGTGTCTCCTATTACAGTCACCGTATGTCCTGTGTGTTGCGTTTCTTTGGTCTCTGCCTCTGCTCCATTGCCTGCGTGGACTCCTTCCCGCCCGTCCCTTGTGAACACTGTGCCCGGTGCTCCTTCTCAGCCTCTGCGTGCTTTCTGCTCATCTCTGGCTCAGCAGGCATTCCCAAAAACCCGCGACAGGGCACTTCCCGGGGCCAGGCTGTGGGCTCAAGCTAGGAACAGAGACAGCGGGCCCCAGCCTGCGGCTGGAAACAAGGTGTGAATGGAGACAAGTCCAGGCGTGAATTAGGTAGGCTGCACGGAAGAGGAGACACCTGCACCAAGACTTGTAGGATGAGTAGGTTATGGAGGTTGGGAGCATTTCTGGGCAGAGGGGCAGGCCGAGGAAGACACACAGGTGGGAGTCGGCATAAGTGTGGGACACGCCACGCCACCAGGGAGGGAGGCACCCAGAGTGACCAAGGAGGGATGCCATACTGAGGCTCCCCACCTCTCTCTCACATTTCACGTCTCTGCGGATGCTTCTAGAATCCCTGTCTCAGCTCTCTGCCTGACCTGCCCTTCCTTCCCCTTCCCTTCTTGGCTTCCCTGTTTAAAACCTATCCACTGGATACTGTGAGGCCCAGTTCAGAATCCATCCTCCCTGAATCCATCCATCCAGCCCCAGCTGCTCTTGTTCATAGGGTCTCTTCCTCTGTCAAAGACCGCCCAAAGTTCTTTCCAGATTCACTGTTTTGGGGTTACTAGCCTATTCCGTGTGGCCCTAAATTGTTGGGGGCCTCTTTCTCTCTATTCAGACCCCAAATCCTATTCATCTTATTCAATTTAGCATAACTGTTAAAAAGGGATGTTCACATGAAGTGAAAAGTGGGTCTCTCAGTTTACTAAAATGTATCAGGGACTTCAAAAATCGGTGTGCTCATGTTCTCACTCATAAGTGAACCTTGAACAACTACAGTAATACTATAAGAAAAGGATTGACAGTAGTGGGAAACTGCGGGCTGGGGTGGTGGGGGCGACTGGGATTGGCCATAGTCGATATCTGCCTGGGGAAGGGGGGGCACACCTCATCAACAAGGGTACCTGCACAATGAATATTTGTATACCTAACCCTGAATTGTCCCCCACAATTTTAAAATAAAAATTAAAAGAGGAAAAAAAAAATTGGTGTGCTCTTTGCTTGATAAATTCCATTTCTAGAAATCTGGTGAAGGAAATAATTATAAATTGGGACAAAGATTTATGCAGAAAGATGTTTATCATAGCAATTTTCACAATGGCAGAAAATAGAAGCAACCTCCATGTTTAAATATAAAGGAATGTGTAAGTAAATTATACCATATACATAGGACGAAGAATCTACATAAAAGGTTTTGATGACATAGAAAAACACTTACGAAGGAAGTGGGGAAAAAATCAGGATACAATACTGTGTATAATCTCAAGTATATAAAAATGTGAATATATTTTCCCATCTGTTTACGTCTAAATAGAAAGGACCAAGAAAACACACTAAAACCTTGATGGTTTTTTTGTAGAAAGCAGAATCATTATTGTTATTATTTTCTACTTTAAGTACTTACACATTTTCCATACATTCCATAATGAACACAGTTTTATGTTTGTAATCAGGAGGAAAAACGAGAGTAATAAAAAAAGAAAGATGGCGTTTTTCTGCGCGTAGGTCTGCTTTTGATGAGGTGCCATGTGTGTTACTAGTGACATATTTCTAAAAGGCCATTTTGTGTGCTATGTATTTTATTGGTGTGCTGTTACACTCGGGTTGCAGATGACACGATGAGCTCAGCATTTTCTGGCTGCCAGAGCCCTGCTTGCCGATCACTTCTGTGATTTGCAGTTCTCCTCGGACTCGCCCAGAGCCATCGGATGGCTACATTCTGGGCTGCTTGAGTGTGACACCTTGGGATGGATGATGTCCTTTCCTGGCCTGACTCTGTCTTTTGTGAAGGCTACCCCTGCCCTTGGCTGAGGGGGCTGAGCAGAGCTCAGCAAGGGTCAGAAGATTCCCTGTCCATACCAACAGAACAGGCACTTTGTCTGCTTCCATCTTACCCTGACTATTCCAAGTTGGCTTTGTATGGTCAATGTTGGGGCTGCGTGTTAGATACTTCATCTCTAGGTCCTGCTTAGACCCAAAAGCTCCATACTTTGGAGTGTTTGTGAGGCAGTATGACAGACATCACTATCAGTGGGCGTGTTTCATAAGCTGCACCAGATAATGATTATATTACATGATCTCCCTCACTCAATTCTCATAACTTCCAAAATAGACTTAATGTCCCCCATTTTACAATGGAAGAACAGGCCCATAGGCTAAGTAATTTTTCTTGGGTCCCAGCAGATCTAAAATTCAAACCCAGGCCTGACTGACCTCAAGATTGGTGCTCTTGGATGTCATAGACTCAGGATAATCAAACTTTCAAAGGTCCTAGTGACACTTTCCTCACAGTCTGTGTAAATACCAGGATTTATCTGCTTTTCTTTTCTTTTTTTTGAGTTGGAGTTTCACTCTGTCGCCCAGACTGGAGTACAGTGGCACACTCATGACCACCACAACCTCAGCCTGCTGGGCTTAGGCTATCCTTCCACCTCAGTCTTCCAAGTAGCTGGAACTACAGGCATGTACCACCATGCCCAGCTAATTTTTTTATTTATTGTAGAGACAAGGTCTCACCATGTTACTCAGGCTGGTCTCGAACCCCTGAGCTCAGGCAGTCCTCTCACCTCAGCCTCCCAAAGTGCTGGGGTTACATCTTGAGCCACCACGCTCAGCCTTATCTGCTTTTCAAAGCCTTTGGCTACTCAAAGACAGAGCGCACTGCCCCCAAAATGCCCATAGATATCCTGTTTAAGACCCTGCATCACTGTTAAGACTAATCACATGGCAGCGTTTCTGGATTTACATAATTTGGATGTGGACAGAGTCACCCAGTCTGAAAATGTTGTAGCAGTGTCGTAAAAGGATTTGGGAGGGATATGAGAATGCTTTTGTGACCCTGAAGACAGGACTGCCCAGAATGGGGATCTGAGGCACACACTGCCATGAGAAGTGATCTGTCGCATGATACTGTTAATCATGTAATAACAGGCACCACCGGCCTCATAGACCTGTCTTTTATTTGGAGGGCAGGAAAGTATGGCCCTTATCCCCTCTAGGAAAGGTCAAAGTGAATAATCTTCCCTATTGTCATTGTTAATGACTCAAACAGTACCCAGTATTGAAGCTGATATATAGAAATTGTTCTCACAAAAAAAGTCTATTGGGAGAAGAAGGTGGTGTCTTCTCTGTCCTCTGACCTGTGAGAACAGAGGGGATGTGCCCAAGGCTCCAAAACACCTGGGAATTAAATGCACATCATTGAACCACCCCCATAGGAGAACCACATAAAAGCCACCCAATTGTTTGAAAGACCAAGCGCTGGTCTCTTGCTGTACTCCAGTGGTTGGATTAGTAAGAAATTAGAGTAAAACTCCACAGATGCAGATCAGTTCAAATCCACATAATAGGGCCAGGCACTGTGGTTCATGCCTGTAATTGCAGCACTTTTGAAGACCAAGGCAAGAGGATTGCTTGAGCCCAGGAGTTCGAGATCAGCCTGGGCAACATAGCAAAACCTCATCTCTACAAAAAATACAAAAATTAGCTGGGTATGGTGGCATGTGCCTGTAGTCCCAGCTACTTGAGAAACTGAGGCAGAAGGATTGCCAGAACCTAAGAGGTCAAGGTGGCTGTGAGCTGTGATCATGCCAATGCACTCCATCCTGGGCAACAGAGTGAGTTCCCTAATCAAAAAAAAAAAAAAAAAGGAAGAAAGAAAGAAGTCCACATATATGTTGTGATCAATGGGGCCGGCCCAGATTAATGAAAAATGTGAGTCACTGAATAATTTTTAAATGCAGTTTTATTGGTTTCAAAAGACCAGACCCTGAGGAGACAATCCATAAATGTTGAGTGGATGTTTTGATAAATAGGTTGGGCAATAAATGACTAAAATGGATGAGTAAATGAAGGAATAAATGAAGGGTAATTAACACATACCACACTTGCTCTGTGCCAGGCGCTATTCTAGGCACTTTACATGTATAAACTCATTCCATTCTAAAGTTAGCCTATAAGGTAAGTACTGTTAAAATCCTCATGTTAAAGTTGAGATCACATCAACTATTGAATGGCAGGACCGGAATTTGGATCTAAGGTGCCTGGCTGTAGACTCTTAGTATATAATCACTAAGAACTCACATGCAAGGATGATGGAAGGCTTGAATATCGTTTGCTATACCAATAGCATGCTGCTAGAGTGTTTGAAAACTGTGTTTCTGTAGTTACTTCGGTTGTTTTAAATGAGTCCAGTGCCCATCATCTCATGGTTGGGGAAACCGAGGTGCGGAGAAGGAAAGGTCTTGGCTACAGCCCTGCAGCAGCGTGTGCCCAGCTGAGGCCAGGACTTGCAAGACACCACCAGTCTCTCTCACTCTCCCTGCCACAGCCACTGCAGCGCTCCTTTGTAAACCCGTCTCTCTGGTCCAGGTCCAGACTCCTTCGAAGGTTCCACAATAGAGGATCCCAAGCTGGCCATTTCCACCAAGATTTCCCCAGCCCTGCAGCCTCCTTCCTGAGGCTTCATAGTGACAGAGATGCCCAGCACTCTAGGATCCCAGGTTTTGCCATCTCCTGAAGGTGGAATCAGCTTCTGGAAGGACCAGAGATCCCGTAACTTGCATTTAGCATGGACTTAGTTTTTCCTCTTCAGATTAGCCCACTCAAAAGGGACAGGAAAATTAGTCTGAGCACTCCATGAAGGTCTTCTGGGTTTATAATGCAAGTACAGATTCCCACCAGCAGGCGGCGACAAACCCTAGCAGTTACAAATGCCCCACCTCAAGGATGGCTCCCTGGGTTTGATTCCTGGCTTCTCTGCCTAGCTGAGTGATTTCTGTGCCTCAGTTTCTCCCTCTGCAAAATGGGCATAAAAATACCTAGCTCATAAGGTTGTTCTGGAGATCACATGGTGTTACACACATAAAGCGCTTAGTAATAGCGCCATGGTAATTTCCCAACAAATGCTAGGTATTATATAACCATCACAATCAGCGTTCTGTTAGAACCAATTCCAGAGGATTACCCACATTGATCAGTTGTTCTGGAGCTTTGCTTTATTGGAAACTGAAATGAATAGGCTACCCACTGCAGTCTTAGAGACCATTTGGTTATCCAGAGAGCCTATATAATTAATCTTTATGATGAGCTTTGTATATAAAAAGTACCAGGCACTAGTACCTAGTAACCTGTAACACTAGGCCTGAAATGGATTTCCAGTAGGGCAGTGACTGGTCCAAGTGTGATGGTCTTGGGGCACTGAGGACCTTACCTTCTATCAAAGGATGTGGTTCTGGGCACAACACAGCCACCTCTGGAATCCTCTGCTGTGACTGAAGTGACCAGACAAACTCCTGATAGAATGCAGAAAAAAAGTCTTTTGTGTACTTGGCACTTTGCCAATATTAAACAAAAGATGCATTGATTCAATCATTACTCATAATGGTATGCCCTGAAATAGCTTCCAATTCGTGTGCAAGACTTTTCTTTTTAACTCATGAACATGGAGGCATTGCGGTCTCAGTATATTCCAAGAAAAGCATCTTGTGAGATTTTCCAAAGGAATATGATGTTATCTTGCCTGGCAATGACGCCTCTCTAACGTTGCTGGGCCCACCCTTGTTTTTGCAGCTGTGCCTGAGCTGAAGCTCCTCTGTGGGGCAGACATCTTGAAGACCTTCCAGACCCCTAACCTGTGGAAGGACGCGCACATCCAGGAAATCATGGAGAAATTTGGCTTGGTGTGCGTGGGCCGGGCAGGCCACGACCCACAGGCGTACATCTCAGAATCGCCCATCCTGCGCAAGTACCAGCACAACATTCACCTGGCCAGGGAGCCCGTGAAGAACGAGATCAGCGCCACCTACATCAGGAGAGCCTTGGGCCAAGGACAGAGCGTGAAGTACCTGCTTCCTGACGCTGTCATCGCCTACATCAAAGACCACAACCTGTACATCAGGGACAGTGCCTGGAAAGGCAACAGCACCCAGAGCAGCGAAAGAAAGACACACTAGGCAGGGACTTGGGGGCCAGCCACGCTGCCTCCACCAAGTGCCTGCTGGGGAGAGGGCTGTTCAAGTTTGGGTTTTGCTTTTGTTTATTTGTTTGCTTTTCCATTTCCCATTTGTTTTATTCCCACAGTGATTCTTTTCCTGCAAAGTGTTCTGTCCTGGGAAGCAATAACCTTCATGTGTTGGGAAGGAAACGTCTACGTCACAAAAACAGATGTTTACCAAAGAAGTTAAAATGGCGTGGCAGGTCGTTGGGATCAGGCAAAATCTCTCAGAATTGCTGGACGAGGAGCCCTACTTATTCTGTGTAGATGGTAATTATGGTGTACATACTGAATGTGGTTCTGAGCACGTCAGGGGCCCCGAGGGTCAGATCAGAATTGTCCACAATGCGTTTTTTAACCTGGACCAGGTGCAGCGTGCTGGTCTTGATTGGAGAGATTTGACAGGATGCTAATTACTGAACAGTGGGCCTTGTCAATGCCCTAGTTTCAAACAGAATACAAACTGAGGAGTCAAACACTTGGAAACAGCACCTTGCTGATTTACATGGACTCTTCCCTTCCTTACAAACCATTGTCTGCTGCCTAACTGGCCTTTCGTAAAATTTAAATAAAATTCTTTCTTAGTGGTGCTCCTCAAGCAATATATATATTTATATATATTATATATAAATATATATATATATATTTTTTTTTGAGTTGGAGTCTCACTCTGTCGCCCAGACTGGAGTGTAGTGGACGCTCCCGGCCACCGCAGCCTCAACCTGCTGGGCTCCAGCAATCCTTCCGCCTCAGTCTTACGAGTAGCCGGAATTACAGGCGCGCGCTACCACGCCCAGCTAATGTTTTGATTTATTGTAGAGATGAGGTCTCACCTGCCCAGGCGAGTCTCGAACCTGCGGGCTCAGGCAATCCACTCACCTCAGCCTCCCAAAGGCGCGGGATTACAGGCTGAGCCACCGAGCCCGGCTAAGCAATATTTTTGATACAGCACGTATTTTTAACACTGCTCTAGTAACACAACTCCTGATTTCCAGATTTCTCAAAAGGAACTGAGGTAAAACAGATGCCTGACTGTTTTAGAGGGTCTTTTTTAATGTTTTATGACTGCCTGTCTGTTTGAATATTGGCAAAGGGATAAATAATAAATTGACATCAAAAAGTACTAATGAAAAGTTTCTCTTTTTTCTCCCTTTGTTATATTATTCATGCCCGCTGTACCAGCTGTTGCTCTTCTTTTTAGCTACTTTTTCAGCTACTGTTCCAATCGAACTGGCATGAATCTCCAAGTTTGTGTTCCCAGGTACGAGGAGTGAAGGAAGCAATTGCCTTTCAGCTCCATGCAAATGGTTTTCTAATAGAAAGAACTGGGTCAATAGCTCTTTTCAGGTGGACCCTGAAATATGAGGACAGGAGCCTCGTGTGTTTTCGGGATTTTTCATTCCACTCCCAGATTAGGGAAGGGGTTTGATTGACCTAATTCTGTTTGAGTTTACCCATTACACTTGCTGACCACATGACTGAATGCATTCAGAGTTTACTTCTCCATAGTTTTATTCTGGTTCAGCCTTGCTGCAGATTTAGTCGTGCAGAAAAACAAAGGGCCAGTTGAGAAGAATCTAGTATCTCCCTGGAAATACCCCACTGTTCATATGTGTGTCATGAAATAGACTAGTGAAGTAAGAAATCAGGATTCCCTGGATCCAGAGTGGTGGGACCCCCCTGTGGGGGCATGGAGGCGCCCCAGATGTCTGTCCTTGCAACCGCTAAAGCTGCCAGTCATTACCTACCTTCACTGAGCTCTGCCCTCAAGAGGTCCCTAAAGACCCTGATAATTCAGGGGAATGGGAATCAGCCTTGTCCAAAAGCTGCCACAGCAAGCTGTGTGACTTTGACTAACTCCCTTCTCCCTCAGTTTCTCTGCCTCTAAAATGGAGGTTTGATTAGACATCCTTTTAAATTCTCCGGCTCTGATTTCTAAGACTCCAAATGCCTCTGACTTCAGCCTATGCAGCCTTCTTCGGATCCAGTACACCTCCAGCCAGACTGGAAGCTCCCCAAGGGCAGGGGAATCTTTGTCTTATTTCTGATATATCACAAGTAAGTACCTAGAAATTTGCTACTCCAAGAGCTGTCCCAAACCAGCAATGTTGCACCCCTTGGGAGTCAATAATGAACGCAGACTCTCAGGCTCCACCGAAGACCTACTGACTCAAAAATGACATTTTGATACAATTTGCTGCCCTAGAACGGTGTCCATGACGACAAATATTTGTTTTATTTTCTAAAAGCTGAACATATGATTGAAACTGTGACGTCTACTCCAGTAAATATATTCCTCCTTATCCTCAGAACAACATTATACCATTCTTCTATACAGTGTATGGAAAGCAGAGGAGAAGAAAATAAATACAACTCGCAAACAGTTGTAGTGTCCAGAAAAAGTGGCAGAGAGGGGGGCCTGGGGATTTAAGGCAGGGCTTCTCAACCTGGTCGTACTGACATTCTGGGTTGGATGATTCTTTGCTGTGGGGATTGTCCTGTGCATTTAGGGTGCTTAGCAGCAGCCCTGGCCTCTAGTCACTAGATACTAGTAGAATCCCCACCCCACCCCCCAGTTGTGACAACAAAAAGGCTCCCAGACATTGCCAGTTATCAAATTCGGAGCACCGAATTTTCACCGTGGTTGAGACCCATTGGTTTAAGGTATGGCTGTGAGGGATGGGTGTAAGGGTCCAAAGGGCTAGTTGGGTGGCAAGTTCCTACCTCTCATGAAGTCATGTTTATTCTTGGGATACAATGCTGTCCACAGTAGGAACTAGAAGCCTCATCCATGGCTCACAGGCATCCCCAGCTTTAATCTCCCTTTATCTCCAAGAACCCTGTGTGGCTTTCTCACCCAGGTTTTTACAGCTGATGATCAGCATCCTCTGGACCCTCAGTACTGACATCTAGGACCTGGCAATGAGTGGGAGCTAATAGACATTATTATTATTATCATTATTAAAAACTCTGGGTTCATTTATTCAAATCATATCAATTGAGGACCTCTCTAGACCAAACACTGGGGTGCAATGGGAAGCAAAAGACAGTCTCTACCCTCAAGAAGCGTATAATCCAGTAGGAAGTGGTCAGGGATTAAATCATCACACAACCAAACATGTGATTACAAACTGTGAAGAGGGCTCTGAAGGCAAATACACCATGGAGTCTGACAGCCAGAAGTGGCAGATTCACCCCAAAGCTAATGAAGCTTAAGTTTCAGTCCCTCACTTGCTTGGGCCCTTCCCCGTGCCCTAGGAGGACCCAAATTATGGGGATATCTTTCAAATTTATAATTTTTATAAATGAAAGGGGGCCTTCATAATTGTATATGGTTTAGACCCCATAAGATCAATTCGCCTCAATGACAAGGCAGACAGCAGGGAAGCGACGATGGATTTGAGACCTGAAGGATGAGTTCACAAGACTTAGGGGTGGATGGAGACAACTAGCTTTCAGAAAGAAAGGACAGCACGTACAAAGGTCCTGAAGCAGGAGGGAGCCAAATGAGCAGTCTGATTAACTAGGTTCATCCTTATGAATGCCACTGTCCCCCTGTCCAGCCTCCCCACAGGCTCAGGCCACTAGGCCCAGCCAGACTTGGAGTTGACGGCTTTGTCTGCATCATGCTCCCACCAGGAAAAGCATCCATTTCTGAGCCTTTTCATTGTCTCTCTCTATAAAACAATAACACAACAAAACCTACTTTATTAAAAATACATATGTAAATAAAATAGCACATATCTTAACGTCTGCACTGGCACTGTGTCTCCTTGATTCATGTAGCCTCCCTTTTTCAGTATCAGAAGCAAAAATACCTGTCACTACTGCACTCCTGATTCATTGCGTTGACACTGACCCGCGTGCCTGATTGCACATTCCTCTCCATTCCCTCGGGTCTTCTCTGCATCTACTTTGCCAGGGTGTCTTGTTTATTTTGCAAGAACAGAAAAACAGTGGTTTGGGCTCCTGGGTAAATAGAGTTTCCAGCCTTAAATAAAGGTTCTCCTGTGATAGCATATGCTGCCCAGCTGAGAGGAGCTCTGTATCCCAGCCCAGGGAAAGGATTTTTCATTTATAATACTGTCTGTGTCACTTGGGACAGAGCAATGTGAAATCCCATGTTAAATCAGCAGCGCTTGGATTTGCAAGGCACGCTTGGTAATTGGGTTAACACATGAATATGAATTTCCTTAGCCCCGTCCTCATGCTTTCTATGCCAGCACTGTTTCTGCCCTTCCATTTTGCAAGGGTCTTCATGCATTGATTGTGTTCGATTTCAGTCATGAAGTTATTTTCTTGGACCAAGTCTTGGCCTTATAAATACACATGTGTGTGACTAATAAACAGTCTATACTAATGCACCTAGGCAATATTTTAGTATTGTTGAAATAACCTCAATAAAAATTATTCATGGCACCACAGACTATGAGGACTAGAGGGGACCCCCCCCCCAAGTTCATCTGGTCCCATGTTTCCAAATTATCAAACACTCAAATCCCACAAATGAATGGGAGTTTCACTACTACAAATAATAGCAACGTGCTCTGTGGACAAATCTGGGGGAGCCCACCCTGCCTTTCTCCTGCTGGAAATCTACAACATGTGTTTTGCCTGCCCTCTCAGTCTTACCCTTTGTACATCCCCAGATGCAGCCACTCTTCTCCATCCCTCCTGCCACTTTCCCGTCCAACTCACCTTCATCTCTCACCTGGACCACACAACAGCCTCCTGCCGGAATTCCCCAATCCACTCCTGACCCCTGCCCTCCATCCTCCACGTAGAAGCCAGGGCAAATCTGGTCATATTATTTCCCTTCCCAAACTCCTTCCGAGGGATACCCTTTAGAAAATGAAAAGACAAGCCACAGATAGATTGGGATAAAACAAAATGCATACCTAATAAATGACTTGCATCCGGAACAAAAGATTTGATGAGATATATGCAGGAAGGGGTGAACACAGCAGGCCTGATGTTGCTCTCAGGAGGGGTCTGCCTGTAGGGTTGGCATCTGAGAACTTGGCTTCTGGAATGTTACCTGTGTTTCTAGCTGACAAGGCTGCTTTATCTTCCTGGAGCACTGAATCCTGCTGTACCAACTTGCCTAGACTGTGCAAACAATGTGATTTATGGTGCATTCTTCCTTTCCCCCTAGGAGTTTGGAATTTCAGTAAGCACAGTTGGTCATATGGCCAAAGAGTGCCTACTTCACCAGTCCACGAAAAACTCTGAACATTGAGTCTCAAGCGGGAACCCCCTGGGCAGAAACAATGTGCACTGTTGCTGCATTTCACTACCAGAGAAAGAAGCATGTGCTGTGCAAACCCCAGTTTGAGAGAAGAACTTTGCAAGCCTGCACTTGGACTCCTCCAGATGCCAACTAATGGTGCTGTGCGTCCTTTCACTAGATAACTGTTGCAGGTATAATTGCCTCTGAGGTCTGTGGGTCCTTCAGGCAAGTCACCAACACTGGAAACCCCCAAATAAGACACATTGATGCCTAATACCATTAGTCATTAGGGAAACACAAACTAGAACCACAGTGAGATACCACTTTATGCCCACTAGAATGGTTAAAATCAATTCAGCAATTCCACTC